GCTGTCCGGCAAGAACTGTTTGCTGTCATTGCTATGAGTTATTAGGCTAGGATATTATCTCACAATAGCATAACTGCGGGAGGGAAGTGGGCGACTGAGGCAGGAGCCCTGGGTGCTGCCTTGGAGGAAAGGGGGGACACAAAAATAGATGCTGTTGCATCAGCAATCGGCCGTGCTGCCGCCATCTGCCGCGCACCAGCTGCTACCCTGCAATATCTCAGGAGAACAGCCCTAATTCCCTTCAGTAAGAGAAGAGTGTTTTGGAGGAATAAAACCCTTAGGCATTGGGATGTAAACCAGTTTCTGATGACGATTGGGAAGTATCTTCTTCTTTAGGCAAATTGTCCCCTAAATTCCACTGTGGGCTTTGCACCATCTGCTGTGAGATGGTGCACGGACTGTAGCACGGACTTCTGATACGATTTAGTTTGCAGCAGAAATGCCAGCAATAGCAATAGTAACTACAAAGATCTTCTTTTCCCCGTTGAAAAAAAAAAGAACAAAGAATGTGGTAGCACGGACCATGAATATTGCACGTGAGAAAGGTCTGAAGGCGGCAAAGACAGCCAGGGAAATCTGGAGTATTAAGCATGGTTCTGGAGCCAAGCTTCTCCTAGCAATAAAAGGTATTAGGGGTTGTGTTGGGATTGTCCCTAGCTCTGCAGAAAGACGCACAAGAGTTTCTTCAGTTGAGGAAGTGAAATCTAACAATGCCTCGTGACAGCTGCATATAGATTCATCTTGACTTATTTTATTGCAAGTTAAGGGTCTTGCTGTGGGTCTTCCTCTGATCCCTTTATTTGGGTAAAGCTCGCTCTGCAGTCGTCATAAGCTAGAGTGCAAGACACAGCCCAGGTGATTGCTATACAAATGCAGAGATGTTTAACGCACCTGGTTATGTCACTTTTGCTCAGGTTCAACCAGTAACAAAATGTTCAGTGTGCTTGATACACCTAGCACACGCACAGGCCTGCATTGCCAGAACATTACAGCTTTAAAACTGTACAATGTAAACCTGCTGGAATATGGCCGGGAACTTTGTTTGACTTTATTTTTCAGGTCCCGTCTGGGTTCCCTTAGGTTTTGTGCCAGTCAGCCTTGAGAGTCTGCCCATCCAAAATGGTTCTTTCTTCACTCTTTTGAATGAATTAAAATCTGGTCTTGACTCCTTAATAAAGGCATCTCCTTAATATAGGACCAAACAGAATTGCGGCACCATGTTTCAGATCCTCCGTCTGAGGCAACAGTTCAGGGCTTGTCAGGTTTTGTAGACTTGGAGCGAACAGTACTTTTTCCCGTAAGGTGGCATTTCTCTCTCTGATAAAGGGCCTTGTAAGTATATTCCCTACTTGCCGAATGATTGCATCCCACATCCCTTTATTGAGGGCCGGATATTCCCCATGGGAACTGACCAGCAGTTGACCAGTTGTCTGTCTGTCTTGTCACCTTGGCCTTGGACGGTTATTTTTAGGATGGACTTTGCATCTGTATTGAGTTTCTCTGGCCCAGGCTGCTGCAGTGTGATGCTATATGAGCCAAGAGAGGTGAAATAGTATCTTGGGGCCTGACTGGTGTCATGGGGCTCTGCATTAGTCACAGGTGGTTGGTCTGGGGATCCTACGATAGGACTGGGGAGCCCCGGGGTGTTCCTTTACTCCGTGGGACTCCTGTATCCCCTGCTGCTGCCTTAAGAGAAGTATGTTCCTCCCAGCTGCCAGTCCTCTGAGAGATGGAGCAAGAAATAGAAATGCTGCTATCCTAGTTAGCTTTGAGATTTTTGGTCTTTATAAAGTCCCAGCCTTTCCGATTAAGATGGCAGGCTTTCCTCTCAACTGTAACCCCAGCCACTTCTGCCGAATTGTGTTGGTAAGGTTGATGTGCTAACTCTTTACAGCCCCGTTTTGTACATCTTCAGCTGTTGCAACCACTGGAATAACATGAGACCTTTCTCTCAGTTATATAGGGGACTGCGAAATTCATATGGAAGTATCCAGATTTAAAGTTGGAGTGAAAGGCATCCAGGTGGGTATCATGCAGATATTATTCCCGTGATATTGTGGGTGAGGTCTGAGACACCTGTGGCCTGCTGGAAAGGCCATGGGAGACCTGGCATCTATTTCTCACTCTGCTGCTGGGTGATATTGGAAATGTTACTTCATTTCTTGCTGTTTCCACCTGTCTCCTTTAGAAAGGATTTTGAGACTTAAAATGAAAAGCTCTATAAAATAGTAGGTGGTGCTGTGTGTTAAACCTCTGGGAACTTCATGGTGACTGCAGTGATATTGTGATGAATGATGATACCTCCAGTTTAAGTACAGGCCCTCTACCACTTGAATTTAAAAGCGAATAGGATTTTCTAGGGGTTATAGACACCCAGTGCCCTCAGACTCGATTGAAAATCACAGCTTTGGCTTCATAGAGTCTCTGATAGCTGAGGAAAATGTCTGATTCTGCTTGGGAGAGGGCATTAGTTCTCCCATGCAGTTGCTGGTTGATAAGTCACTTTAGACTCCAGATTTCCTCTTTGTGAAAAAGAGGATCTATGGAGCACAAAGGGACAGGCCTGTCTAAAGCACCTGTACTGACCTGGGGCAGCTGTTTGAGAAAATTATCCAGGAACACATCTGCGAGGGGGCAGCAGGGGAGATTATGCTTAGGGGCAACCAACATGGGTTCATTCGAGGCAGGTCCTGTCAGACCAACCTGGTAGCCTTCTATGACCAGGTCATAAAATCCTTAGACACAAGTATCGCGGTGGACGTAGTCTTTCTGGACTTTAGGAAGGCCTCCGACACTGTGTCTCACCCCTTTCTCATTAAAAAACTAGGAGACTGTGGCACTGATGCCTACACAGTCAGATGGGTCACTAACTGGCCAGAGGGCCGCACCCAGAGAGTGGTGGTGGATGGGTCTTATTCGACCTGGAGGGATGTGGGCAGTGGGGTCCCCCAGGGCTCAGTCCTCAGATGAGGGGGTGAAAAGCGCCTTGTTCAAATTTGCTGATGACACTAAGATGTGGGGGGGTGTGGGCACGCTAGAAGGGAGGGACAGACTTCAATTGGATCTGGACAGGTTACAGGGGTGGGCAGATGAGAATAAGATGGGAGTCAATACTAACAAGTGCAGGGTGCTGCACCGGGGGGGGGAAGAACCAGCAGCATATCTACAGGCTGGGGAACTCCCTTCTCATCAGTGCGGAGGCAGAAAAGGATCTTGAAGTCATTATAGACTCCAAGATGAACATGGGCTGCCAATGCAGGGACGCAGGCAGTAAAGCTAACTGCACCTTGTCATGCATCCACAGATGCATCACGAGCAGGTCCAAGGAGGTGATCCTCCCCCTCTATACGGCACTGGTCAGGCCGCAGTTGGAGTACTGAGTCCAGTTCTGGGCGCCGCACTTCAGGAGGGATGTGGACAGCATGGAGAGGGTCCAGAGGAGGGCCACTCGCATGGTCAAGGCAGCAAGGCAGGCCCTACGAGCGGAGGCTACGGGACCTGAACCTGTTCAGCCTCCACAAGAGAAGCCTGAGAGGG